ATTAAAACATAAAAAGAAATTCTTAATTTCTGTACATAAAAATAGGATAAATAGGAAATTTAAAGAATATTGACTACAAAAGCATGTGGATGTTATGCAACAATACTAAAGGGTTTTCCAAAGTAGTTATGTAACCAGTTTACTACTGTCCCACCAGCAGAGAAGAACATTCCCAGAGTTTATCTTTCTAGCTCTTAATACTCTGACTTCAGGGTTTTTTTTTTTATATTTTAAAATGATTTTCATGAAAGTTTACAGAGACTTTGGATTTCTATTCATTCATTATTGTACTTTTCTCCCAGCCTACCCCTGTACCCCCAGCCCCCCAATTAGCTTTTCTTTTTGGAAAGTAAAAGAAAAAATTCTTTCATTGTCATTCAATCCCTCCACCCAAGTTCACTCCACTATGCTACCTTTTCTGGACTCCTGTCATAACAATATTATTGTTATAACTTCAGTTTTTAGCGAAGAAGCCCCAAAGGCACAATGGTTAAACTCTCAGGTACTAAATGAAAGGTTGGCAGTTGATTGGAAGAAATACCTGGGAGTTTGCTTTTGTACAGATTTGGAAAAATCTATTTTTAACTCTACTTTGCTCTACAGGGTCACTACATGAGTTGGAAGTACCGTGAAAGGAACTGGTTCTTGGATTTAACAATTCAGGTAGTAGTTCAATAAAGGCCATCTATTCTTTACTTATCAAAATGCTTAGGTTCCAAAGATCAGGTTGCCATGTGGAAATCAGCATTATGGAAAAATGAAGGATCATTGGATTACAAAGTGGAGAAGGACATAACATCACTGAGTAACTGCCAAATTCCTGAGAATCTTGGCCCAGCCAAGCTCATACAGAACCTAAACAGACAACACTACTCTCACCTCATACCTTGGCATTTGTTGTTAAACATATTATGTTGTTAAAGGACTAAAGAGCTGGATAAGAGATTTTCCCTGTGATCATAATGCACAATGCTGGGTAGATAACAAGATAAGTGAGGAGTGAGCATAGCTGTCATTGACTGGATTCCAGCTGAGGCCACGCCAGCTTTTCAGCCTTGACCTGTGCTCTGTAGGCTCTTTGATGACTGGCTCTTCCTAAGTAGACTGCCAGACATTCCTGTGACATGCCTTTGTCTCCTCATGTTAATTTCATTCACATCTGCATTTTATTGATTGATTGATTCATTCGATTACTATTTTGATAGCTAGTACTCTACCCAGTATTATTATGGAAAATAGAGAAGAATACAAGAAGATATTCTTGGGAAAGAAAATTGTCATTGTTCTTCAAACAGTTGTAACTCATAGTGACCGATCAGACAGACCTTGCCCATGGGATTTTCTGCAGTTAGGTTTTCCTTCTGCACAGTCACCTGGGTGGTTTTGAAATATCAACCTTTCCGTTCGCAGACAAACACTTAACAACCTCAAGGCTCTTGAGTGCAACCTAACACCCAACAACTCAGTGCCATCTCTCTGCACATTTCTGTCTGTTGTACTTTCCACTTTCCAGGAAAGCAGTGTCCATAAACTCTGCTGCTATATCTCATATCAATTGACTATTACATTAATGCATATATTGCATACAATAGCTAACAGGATAATGTACTTTAATCTAAGAATTTTCTTTATACTAAAGTAACAGAAATCATGCATTATGGTTAAAATGAAACAGCTTGTGAAAAGGTACAAGCTGAACGCGTATCGTGCTTTCTGAGCAGGGTCTGGGGTGTAGGAGAGCTGTGGAGTATTGATGAGAAACACACGTATGTAGGGCTGGGCCGGGGGAGCGAGAGAGGCTGAGCTCAGAAGTACCTGGCTGAGGGTCGGTGTAGTTCACAGTGTATCCTTCCAGCTGCATCAGTTCCTGGGGTTCGGACTTTTTTTCTCTGTAACTGCACATAGCAAATGTGTACTGGCTAACCTGCTCAGAGAAAAAAAAAATTGTAGCTGGTTATACTAACTTTTATAAAATTTAGCATTTGTTCCATATAAATTCTTTCGAAACGTATTTTTCAGACATGAAAAGGACTTTTCACTTGTCAATTTGTTACAGGCGGCCCTCAATGGTAGAGGTCAGCATTTCTCAAGTAACGCACCACTGGCCACGATGCACGAGATATTAATAGATATAAAATAAAAGAATATTCGTGATAAAAATACATCTTGAAATCATTAGGTTCATGAAAGAAACAGATTTCTTTTATTGACAAGTTACTTAGGGTCTTTAATGCGCTAACAAATATTAAGTAGCATTCTCAAACTTACAGAATCACGAAGCCTTATTTCAAAGAACATTTATTTTTAGACTTTAAGTCAAAGTGTAAAAAAAAATCAGTAAACTTTGGGAATCTGTTGGTCCACATAGCGAAATCCACATAAAGTGACTAGGTAGCCTATGGTTTAGAGAGTTAATGATTGAACATCGCCAAGCTAGCAGTTTTACAACTCTACGTCTTTTTTGGAATGTGCTTCATTAAGGGGTTATGGGGGTGCTTTCCCCAGAGTTAGAACTATAGTTGTAAGTATCTCTGCACTCATCTCCCTGGTTGTCCCAGCTTGGGCCACCACAGGGACATACTTGGACCATCTATATGGCCAAAGGGAGAAGGTACCTATTATAAGCCCCAGTTAGGTCAAGAACGCACAACAGTGGCAAGATCACATGGCATGATTGATAGCGTTTCAGAAGTGCCCTGGAGCAGACAGGGCTTCTTTTGGAGTGGTAATACATAAAGAAACTGTAAAATATCCTAGAACACAGGATTGCACAGAAAATAGTCAATATGAATAATCCCATTTTTCTTTCCAAAAAAAGTGACACAACCTGAGACCTACATAAGTACATAAGTTAAATAAGCAAAGAATTCTTAAAGAGACAAACAGCTAGTCCCAAAGAGAAACATTTATGCAACAGATGATATTCGGAAGAATTCTCTTTCTTAGAAGGACACCGTAAAGAAGGAAAAAGGCTAATCATATTCATCAAAGGACTCACGTTCAGAATGTATCAAGGATAGGAATTAATCAGGTAAACCTAGAAAGCCCAGTATTAAACTGAGCATTCAACATTCTTCTCTTGGTTTTATTTCAGCATCGATTTCCACATCTACTCTTTATACTTCAGACCCAAAGAGAGGCTGGAGGTGATGGTGTAAGTGCAGAGAGTGCCACTGCGGTAATTCAGACAAAGACACACATGCTCCGCTACTGAGAAGGATTTTCTCTGCAGTGACAAAGGCAGTGCTTCACGCCCACTGCAATGCTGGAGTCTGCAGACACGTACACCAATCTCTGGATCCTGCTGGCGGTTCGCTCACCATCTCTGGTCATTGAAGCCTTTCACCTCCTACTTCTTGGCTTCAAGCAACTTTCAGTTGCTGTAGTTGTTTCAGGTGTCACTGAGTCTACTATGACTCAGAGTGACCTTGTGACAAGGTCAAGGTAACAGATCAAAATGGTGTTCTATCCTGTACCATCCTCACACTCTCATTCTCAGCTCCCTGTTGTAGTTACTGTTGTCAATTAATCTCCCTGATGGTCTTCCTGTCTTCCAAAGACCTTTTATATCCACCCCCCTCCATGATGTCTTTTTTCTAAGGACTGGAGCCGCTGAAAACATGCCCAAAGTATGTGAGATGAGGTCTCCTAGCCTTGACTCTAAGGAGCACCAGGGTCTCTTCCACCAAGATAGACGTGTTTGTTCTTTTGGCAACAAAGAGGTATTCAACACTGCATCATCATGCAATTCAAGGCATTCATTCTTCCTTGGTCTTAGTTATTTACTGTTCAAGTTTCACATGAATAGAAACAATTACAAATAACCATGGGCTGGATTAGGTATACCTTAAGACTGAATGATTGCTTTAGTGTTAGATTGGGGGGGGGGTGGCTTTCTTCCAAGAAATCTATCAGCACAGGGTGTATATAGGCCAATCCATACAGAAATCATCAAAAGACACAATTTGCCACTGATTCCTCCTCTCATTTAGCAAACAGAATTAAAAACACACAAAATTTAATCTTTAGAAGGTCCCATTCATCAATTTTATCCTCTTCCTGTGTTCATCAAAAACTTTTTCCCACAGGGTAAAAAGAAAACCTACTGACTGGGAACAAACATTTGGCAATACCATCTCAGGCAAGAGTCTCATAACAAAAGTTTACCGAATACTCCTGGGCCTCCACAAGAAAAAGTCTGATAACCCAATTACAAAATGAGCAAATGACATGGAAAGGATTTTCACAGAGGAAGATCTTCAAATGGCCGACAGACACATGAAGTAATGCTCCAAATCACTGGCAATAAGGGAGCTGCACATCAAAACCACAATGAGATACTGTCTCACTCCAAGAGCAGTGGCAAAGTTTAACAGGACAGCAAGTAATAAATGTTGGAAAAGATGCGCTGAGATAGGAACTACTTTACATTGTTGATGAGATTGTAAAACGGTATAACCACTCTGGAAGGCAGTTTGGTACTTCCTCAAAAAGCTGAACACAAAAATTCCATATGACCCAGCTATTCCATTGCTTGGAATATACCACAAGAAAATGAGAACTGAGGCTCAAATGGAAACCTGTAGACCAATGTTCATAGGAGCATTATTCACCATGGCAAGAACACGGGAACAGCCCAGATGTCCAACCACAAACGAATGGATTGAGAAGTTGTGGTACATTCATACAATGGAATACTATGCAGCACACAGGAGAAGTCGTTTTGTAAATTATTATCTAACTTGGGAGGGACTGGAGAGCATTAGGCTGAGTGAACTAATTCAGTCCCACAAGGACAAATATTGTATAAAAACCATTATTGTAGAATGAATTTGAGGGTCCAAGTTGGATCCTAAGGATCCAGGGGGGGAGGGTGGACATATAGAGGTGAGGATGGGGGGATAGGGTGTTAAACATAGGGTTGCACAAGCCAATGGGTGGGTTGTTGTTGTTGTTGTTATGTGCCGTCGAGTCGCTTGCGACTCATAGCGACCCTATGTACAACAGCCCTAAACTCCGCTCTGT